GTTATCCAGCTCCTGCTGGGATCCTGACAGCCCAGCAGCCCCTGGCTCTGCTCCCAGCTGGGCAGGGGCTGCAATCTGAAGGGGATCAGAGTTCCCTGGGCTGGATGGGGCTCAGGTGCAGTGGAATCCAGGTGCACCAGCAGGTAAAGCCTTTAGTGTCTGCAATGGGTTCACCCAGCAGCTTCTGGCAGCATGGAAATGTTGTTTGTTTTTCTTTTTTTTCCTCCTGTTTTTCCTTTTTTAAGGCTCTTTCCTTTTGCCAGGCACAGGACCCACAGACTCTCCCTGACCTGTGGCTGCCATGAATTCCCTTGGAGCCTTTTTGGCCCTTCCAACTCCACTTTTCCAGCCCAGGTGTTTCTGCCTTTTCCTTTTTCTGTTAGTGCAATAACCCTGCGCTGAGAGACCCAGACAGCAGCACAGGAACCTGGAAAGGCAAACTGTATGGAAGGAGATGGATTTTTTTGGGATTTGGGTTTGTCTGAACTGTGTTGGGAGGCCAATTCCCCACGAGTGCAAGGAGCCATGGGCATGGGCTGGGGATGGACTGCGAATTCAGGTGGGACTGAATTTATTTTATTATTTATACATGGCAAATATTTCCCCTCTGGGGTGGCCTGGCCCAAGATGCTTGGGAGCATCCCAGATAGGAGAAGCTTGAGGACTTGGTTCTGGGGTCTTGGCACCATCAGCAATTGGAGAGCTCACCAGGAGCCTCATCCTAGGAGAAGCAGCAGATGAAGAGTTCAAACAACCTGAATAAACCCTGTGTTTGCAAGTTCTGCTCCTCATGGGGACCTGAGCCACCCTGGTGCCTGTGGAGGGACAATGAGCAGGGTTGGGACATCCAGGAGGTCTCTGGAGGGCACCCCTGGACCTGGATGCAGGAATGGCCAGGCTGATGGGGCAGAGAGGAGCCTGCAGGGCTGGCCTTGGTCAGCCTGGAGATGTGGAGGCTCAGTTTGAGAAATTATGGAAAACCAGGGATAGAAGGTGCTGCCCTTGGCACTTCCCACAGCAGAGTATCCAGGGGAAGTGGCAGCACCAGCTCTGAGCATCCCCTGCTTGATCCAGCCCCAGGAGAGTCTGAAATGTGCAGGGCTTGAGCCCAGAAAGAACCCAGCCTTAAATTCCCACCCCAAAATCTCCACACACACACACACTGAGGCCCTGGGCCAAGCCTCCATGTACCTCCACAGCCTCTGAGCTGCTCCAGCCCCAATTCCTGCTGATTTCCAAGGAAAATCCTGCATCTGAACAGCTCCTGGGGCAAGGATGTCCCCAAAGGGACAGCAAAGCAGCTGCGTGGGGAATGCCAGGGATTGGGAAGCTCTGCCACAGGCTTTCAATGAAGATCCCAATCCCCTGTGGAACTGTGGAGGGCTCCTCCCCTCTTGCCCACGGGATGAACATCTACTGAATTCTGATTTTTTTTTTTTTTTTTTTTTTTTTTTGCCTCAAGGAGTCCAAAACCAGCTGCCAAGAAGGGGATAAATAAGGAGGCGCCACACCCCAGTGTTACAAAACCTTGTATTAATCATCTCCCTTCACTTTCAATATAGAGCAGATATGAAATATAGCCATGGTTCCTAGTTACACGGGAGGAAATGAGTAATAAATACATGGGAGCAAGTGGAAATCACGAGGGTGTTTCACTGGGAACAACATTGGAAAACTGTACACTTGCAAAGACTGGCATCTCCAAACATTAGTATTTCTTTATATCGGGAAGCTTTTACATGTAACAAACATGCTATTGCCGTATATGACAAAAAAAAAACAACAAAAAAAGAAATTAAAATTTAAAAAATAGGCATTGCTCGGCAACATTAACTAGGCAAAAATAGTTCTTTTGTGCACTAACTTTGTACAGAAAAACCAGGACAAAAGGCATGCATGGACAAGGAGAGGCTGCCCGGGAACGGCATGCAACAGAAGAGAGGTCAAAGCTCTTTAAAGTCAGCTTACAATAGGCATAAATACATCAGGGTTATATATATTAATAAGGGAGGAAGTATTCTGTTTAACATTATTAACATTCCCGTTTTTTTTAATGTATTTTTCTTTTTTGTTTTTTTTTTTCTTCCTATTCCTCCCAGAGGAATACACATTCACCTTTAAGTAAAGATAAAGGAATACAAAAAATAAAACTCACTTTGCAAACTCTGATGACTCGTATAAAATCAACTTTAGTGTTATCGTCGCTGTGTGCAAATTATAGACGTCTGCGGGAGCCACCCCCTTTCCACCAGGCACATTCCCAAAGCCAAACCCGACACGGAGAAAGGTGACAACAGAAATCACTTCCCTAAGTGCTGACCCAGCTTCCACCACAGTTTGGGATTTTTCCTGCTGGATGCCGCCACCCTGAACCCCTTGGGGGGTTCTGCTGAGCTGAGCTCAACCCCAGCGCAGCCGAGCTCGGGGTGTCCCCGGGGATGGGGACACGGAAGGGACAGGGGATGGGGACACTGAAGGGACAAGGTTTTGTCCCTAAGCATAGGGACACTGAAGGGACAGGGTTGTGTCCTCAGAGATGGGGACACTGAAGGGACAGGGTTGTGTCTCCAGGGATGGGGACACTGAAGGGACAGGGTTGTGTCCCTAAGGATGGAGACACTGAAGGGACAGGGGATGGGGACACTGAAGGGACAAGTTTGCATCCCCAGGGATGGGAACACTGAAGGGACAGGGTTGTGTTTCCAGGTATGGGGACACCAAAAGGACAGGATTGTATCCCTGGGGATGGGGACACCAAAGGGACAGGGTTGTGTCTCCAGGCATGGGGACACTGAAGGGGCAGGGCTGTGTCCCCAGAGATGGGGACACGGGACAGGGACACTGAAGGGACAGGGGATGGGGACACTGAAGGGACAGGGTTGTAGGGTTGAGTCCCCGGGGATGGGGACACCAAAGGGACAGGGTTGTGTCCCCACTGAAGGGACAGGGTTGTGTCCCTTCCACCGGGCCCAAGGGCACTTGTGTGTGCTGGGCTGGCCGGGGGAACAGCACCGGGAGAGGGTCCCGGGGGCAGCACAGGGGGGGATTTGCCCACCTGACCCCCGGGACCCCGCGTTGGTGACATCTCCAACAGGACAGGGAGGGGACAGCAGCGGGGGTACAAAAAGAAAGGCACTGCCGCTTTATTACTGAATATTTGACTTCACTCATGCAACTGTCGGAGGAGTTTCTGTTTTCTTTTTTTTTTCTTTCTATAAATAACTTTTATTTCTTTTAGGATTCAAGCTTTTTTTTTTCCCCTCCCTTTTAAGCTTCTTTCCCTGGAGCTCTGCCACCTGCACTTAGCACGGGCAGGCAGAGCCAGGCAGCACTTCCCCAACACAACTGAAGCCACTTTTTTGTTGTTTTTACTCAAAAAAACAAAACAAGAAACAGCAAACACAACTAAGTCGTTATTAACCTCTAGACTGTCAATGGAAAATAAGCATTTTTTCTTTTTTTTTTTTTTTAACATCAAAAGGATAAAACAATTGAATTATTTGGTGGTTGTTAATAACAGACATTATCATGGTTCCCAGCCACAGCAAGTTAATAGGTAAAATATCCAAAATAATCTCTCTGAACAATCAGAAAACCTCCGTGTCCATAGTCAGCGAAGGAATAAATAGAATTTCAGCTCTGTAAATACACTGGAGTCTCCCTGAGGGAGGCTCCTGCCACGGTGGCTCTGCTCACACCTCACAAGCCGGGGGTGCTCGGGGGTGACCCAGGTCCCCGGCGCCCACCCTGCTTTGCCTTCACCTCCTCACACCTCTTCCCAACCTCCCTGGCCTTCGGGTTTTCCCTTCTCCACCCTCCCCATCACCCCCCTCAACCTCCTGTCTGCCGGGAAGCAGGACACCAAGGAACAGCAAACATAAAACATTGCATTTGGCACTTGGGTTTTTGTATACATATATATATATAGATATATATAGATATATTTCTTTTTCTTTTTTAGAAAAACAACTTCAAAACGCTGCATGACAAAAGGGTTCACACGTCTCCCAGCCCTGCCCATGCTCTGGCTCCCCCTGAGCCCTGCTCCCTCTGATCCTGGCACCCAATGCTGCCCATGTCCTCCTCACAGCCCATTTTGGAAATATCGCTGCCACTCATCAGCTCAATTAATTGATTTTATATTTGTTATTATTCATTATTCCATTGGAGGACTCGGAGCAGCATTGGGACTGGGGGGAGCATCACTGCAGGTCAGAGCAGTGCTGGGTCAGATTTACCAATTTAACACCAAATTTAGCTCCTGTTATAAAAAGCAGCAGTGGGTGAGGGGCAGCCCAGCCCCACGGGTAATGCCAAGAAAACAAGGCTGTGAAGCTGCATTTTGGTGCCCTTTGTGACTTGGGTTTTATTTGGGGGCTCTTCATCCCTTATTGGCCATGCTGGAAAAGCCCCTTACAGCTGGACTTGGGCAGGCTGGGCCAGATGTGTGGAGCCAGATGCAGGAACCTCTCCCAGTGTTCCCAAATTCACAGACTCCCCCAGGACCCTCCTCTGGGTGAGATGCCCCCGCTCCATCCCGCATCCCAATCCAACTGGGGCGCAGGGAGAGGCACCCCCTGACCCTCCACTGCCCTGAGCACAACGCTGCCTCCACTCTGCAGATCTCTTGGCTGAACTGAAAGGAAATTTTGGGGTTATTTGATTATTTCTGTTCCGATCTGGGCTCGCCGGGTCAGCCCGCACCTGAAAGCGGCGAAACTCGAGAGAAGGGACAGCCGGCCCCAAAGCCCTGGCAGGGCAGGGATCCTCCCCAAAGGGTTTTTGGTCACACACCCCACGTGGTGCTCCGTGCTCCTTGGCATCCTGTCCAGGAGCAGGGTTTGCCCACGGTGAGCCCTCCATTGTCAGCACTCTCCTCCTCCTCCATGTCCAGCCCAACCTCCCCGTGCTGCTTCATCGTCGCCGCTGAGATTTTTCATTTTTTTTGCCATCGTTTTCCCCCCCCCACTTAGCATGGATGTAATAAATGACAACACAAATTCCAAGTCTAATGATATGTTCACAAGGACAATCTACACATTCACAAAATTAAAACGGGAGAGAGATAGAGAGAGGAGAAAGGAGAGGAGAGGAGAGAGGAGAAAGGATGCAAGCTATCGCTGAGGCTCCCTCAAGCCCCGACCTCGCCGCTGGACCCGCAGCAGTTGTTGTCCCGCCCAGCGTCCCCGTGGCGACGCCTTCTAGATCGTGGAGGTTCTGTCGACACCATCTGCAAGTGGGAAGGGACAATTAGGAGCAGCTTGGTACCCCCAAGCTGGGGATTAAGGGGATGGACCCCCCCAAAGCACCCCCAACCCACAGCCCCTACAGTGAGGCGGTGTTGGGGCCACCCCCACAGCCTGCCATCTCCCCAAGGGGTGCAGAAGGGTTTTGGGGTGTCAGTGCTCTGCTGGTCCCTCTGTGCCACCAACTGTCCCCAGCCCACAGCAGCTTCCCCAGGTCACTGTCCCAACACCAGGCCAGGCCTTCTGCCACAGCCCCACAAACACCTTCCCTGGAGCACAGGGGGCTTCTGGGCAGCCTGGACTCGTCCCAAGGCAGGTGACAGTCTGGGACTCTCCTACAGCATGACAAGTTCATTGTCCCTGACCAGGAGTCAGGGGACAGGGACAGAGCTGGTCCCAGGGGCTGCCTTGCCCACGGTTCACCCAACCCTGCAACAGCTGCACCGCAGAGGATGCAGAATTTTCCTCCATCTGAGGATTGTGGAAGGACACAAAGCCCCCAAGCATCCTTTCTGTGTCCCCAGAGCCCGTTCCCAGCTCCCTGTTCAGCAGGGATGCATCCAGCCACAGCCCAACCCCAGGAACGAGGGGTCCATGACCCACCCCAAAAACTGACCCCAGTACCAGCAGCCCCCTGTGCCCACCCCCAGGGGCAGAAATCAGCACCCAACAGCACTTCCCACCCTCCAGCCCTCATCCCCCATCCCAAACCCCATCCCCAGCATGGAGAGTGGCAGGAGGCAGCTCCCAGAGTGGCTGTGGAACAGAGAATTCCCTGTCACCACCTGGGGCACCACAGCCACCTCCCTCCTCCACACTAAAAACAAACAGGTTTGTTACGCCTTTTTTTTTTTTTTTTTTCTCCCCCGAAAGGTTTATTTTTTTAAGAGCTATTTATAGCACAACTGGTTTGGAGAGGCTCGGGGAATGCGACCTGGAAAAAAATAACTTGGAGGAACAGTACCCTGCAGAGGAACAAGACAGCTAAGCCTCGGCTGGGCACGCGCCGCAGAAACGCTTCGGGTGACAGAAGTGTCCTTGTGTTCCCAGCCAGGGATGCTGCCAGGGCCCTGCTGCTTCCCACAGTCCTTGTTCTCCCGTTCCTCTCCCCAGGAAGGGCTGCTGCATCTGCAGGGAGCCTGGTGGCACTCGTCCTCTCCGAGGGCTCCTGTCCTCAGCCACGGGTCACAGTCCAGGCAGGATTTCCGCAGCAGACCCGAGCTGCTCACTGGGGACTCCGGGCGGCCGCGCTCGTCCCATCGCCGGGGCCATCCCTTGTGCCTGGGGCTCCACTGGACACCGGGAGCTTCTGGGGCTCTGTGCTGCACCGGGCTCTCCACTGCTCTGCTGCTGCTGCTGCTGCTGCCTTTCCATCCTCCCTGCTTGGTTTTGTCCCGCTCCTCCTCCCTCCCCGTGCCCGTTATCCGCTGGCACCCCCGGCTGTGTGAGGCCTGCCAGCACCAGGGCACGGTGCCCGGCACAGCCCCTGGCACAGCCCTGGCACAGCCCCTGGCACAGCCTGGCAGGGATTCAGCCTGGCCAGAGGAGGGATCCGGTGGCAGGAGGTCACAACGCTCCAAAGCCGCGACCCATCCGAGCGCGCTGGCGGCAGGGGCTTCATCGAGAGCTAACGAGAGTAGCGAGCTAACACTAATTATCATTAGCAAGCTGAAGAGTGGCTAATTAGCACAGACTCCACTGGTGCTGGTGCGGTCCCTGCGTTCAGCTTCGCCCCCTGTCCCGGCCACCGCGCCGAGAGAAGCCAAGGTTCCCACAGGAGCAGCCCCGGGAGCATCCCTGCGTCCAGCCCCTGCTGCTCTCACAGCCACAGCCTGTCCCAGCTTTTGGGAGGCATTGGGCAGGGGCTGGGGGGCTCAGCAGAGGAGGCGTGGACGTGCTGGAAGAGCCCCAGGAGGAGGGAATGCTCACCGCTGAGTGCGTGCTCCGTCATGCTCAGGCACAGGGACTCCAGCCTGTTGTTGATGTCAGGTTCAGTCACCGGCACCTGGAACTCTGCAGGGACAAAGGGAATAGGAGATCCTGGTCAGGGATCTGGCAGGAACTCCGCCTGCCTGCTCTGTTTGGGAAAACCATCTGAAAAATGCCGCAGGAGGGTCTGACAGGACTGCCAGAAAAATCATCTTCAGCAAGAGACACTCACAGAAGCAGTCATCACCCCCTGTTGTCCAGAAAGGAGAGGGGGGGGTTCAGGTGCTGAGGGGGTTCAGGTGCTGATAAGAGACGTAAGGGGCAGCTGGAGCATGAGCAAACCCCACCCAGGGAGGGGGCAGCCCTGGTCACCTCCTGGGGATGGATGCTGTCCATGCTTGGACATGGGATGGCAGCACAGACCAGCACAGCCACTGTCTGGCTTCTCTGGGACCAGCCTGGCTCCCACTCAGCCACCCACGTCATCACTGCCACATCCCTGAGGGGGTGAGCACAAAAAAGGGACACACACATGAAGTCTGGAGCGTTCCAACACCCCTGTCCTCATCTAAACAGCAGCGAACTTTCCCCACCCTGCAGCAAAACCTGCAAATACAGCTTGTGCTACTGTGCTGGAAGGCATCTCCTGCTTTCCACTGGCTCACGGGAACATGGGACGAGATCCAGGAGGGTTGAGGTCCCCCCACAGCCTGGCAAACAGTGGTTTGTGAGCCCAGCATCACATCATTGCTTATTTTCCTTGAGACTTAATCCTCGTCTTTGGCTCCCAGATCCTCCTACGCCCTCATCCACCTCAGGCTGACACGAAGAGAAACCCATTTATTCTCCTCCAGCGCCTGAGAAATGTGCCCTTGTCCCGGTGTTTAATTAATACCTGGGAACAGCTGCTGCTCCTGCTGAAGGGAACATTTGCTGCCCAAATGCCGCAGTTTAACACCACTGGCTGCCAGCCCAAAGCAGCAGGAGTGCAGGGATGAGGGAGAGCTCACTGGGGGATGGATTCCCTGTCCCGAGGTGTAAATGGTGACGGGGTGTTGGGAGGAAAAGGCTCAAAGCTAAGGAAGGGATACACAAAGAGGCTTCCTCAGGGCCAGGATGCTCCAGGGCCAGGGTCCAAGGTCAGAGGGATCCTCCCTGAATCAGAGGATGCTCCCATACACAGGAGCACTTTGGCAGTGCTGGGGAAGGAAGCACTGACACAGCAGCATTTCCCTTCACACGCACCGTGGAAGGAATTTCCCCTGAGTGCATGGAGGCAGTGCTTCCGCAGCGGGGCTGGGGCCATCCATCAGGAAAAAGTGATGGATCAGCCACCACCACCTTCCCTCCTGACAGCAGCCCCTCAGAAATGAGCTAGGCAAGGCACCAGCACTGTAACACAGAGTCAAGCTGGCACACAGAGGGTCAGAATTCCCTCCAGGGATGTGCACGGTTATCCCTGGAATTCAGAGATACCCCAGTGGCAGTGCCATGTGCCCATGGGGAGACACACCAGCACAGCTCCTCTCATCTCACCTGGCTGTGGGTGAGTGGAAAAGCCCCCCTGGTGCCTACCTGGCTGCTGAAACATCAGCATGGTCTGCGGGGACGTGTGGACCGGCAGCGAGCGCGTCCTCTGCACCGAGCTGTGGCTGCGGCTGGGCATGCTGTTACTGCCCCCAGGGTTGGCAAACCACAGGTTCTGTGGGGAGCAAACACAGGGTGTGGGATGCAAAGCAAAGCCCTCTGTGCTGTGGGTTTACAGCCACTTTGGGCTGGTAGGATCACAGCATGCTTTGGGCTGGAAGGGACCTTACAGATAATCTCATTACAACCCCTTACCATGGGCAGGGATACCTTCCACTGTCCCAGGGTGCTCCAAGCCCTGTCCAGCCTGGCCTTGGGCACTTCCAGGGATCCAGGGGCAGCCACAGCTGCTCTGGGCACCCTGTGCCAGGGTCTCCCCACCCTCACAGTCCCAGTATCTCATCAAAATCTCCCCTCAGCCAATTTAGAACCCTTCTCCTCCTCCTACCATTACCTGCTCTTGCCAAAATCCCCTCTCCCTGTTTTATAAGGCACTTTGAGGACTCAGCTTTTCCCCTTCTGTTGCTCCCACCTCCACATCTCACTGCACAGAGGGGAGCCCATCCCAAATGCCTGCAAACTGCTGGAAGAGTGGGAAAAAACCTGGGGATGATCTGGACAAGTGAGAGAAGGAAAACGAAGCTCGTGGGACAGGGATGGAAGAGCCAGAAATGCCAGGAACGCCGACCAACCTGTCTGCCCTGCTTGAGGATGGCAGGGCTGGCAGCAGGGCTGCGCTGGGGGGTGCCCAGCAGCCCCGTGGGGCCCAGCAGCCCCAGCCGGGCCGTGGGGAGGTTGCGGGAGGGGATCTGGAACTGCCGGGGGTTCCTGCGGGCCAGCCCCGCCCCTGCGGAGCCGGCGCTCGGCAGCGAGTTGGACTGGCCAAAGCCTCGGCTGTGGAGAGACAGAGAGAGAGAGACGGGGCTGAGACACTGAGCCGTGACCCTGCCATCCCACAGGGTGAGACACTGAGCCCTGACCATCCCAAACCATCAGCGGTGATGGGACACTGAGCCCTGACCACCCCAAACCACCGGGGGTGACACACTGAGCCCTGACCCTGCCATCCCACCAGGGGTGACACTCTGAGCCCTGACCCTGCCATCCCACTGAGGGTGACACACTGAGCCCTGACCGTGCCAAACCACCAGGGGTGAGACACTGAGCCCTGGCCGTGCCATTCTACCATGGATGAGACACTGAGCCCTGGCCCTGCCATCCCACTGAGGGTCAGACACTGAGCCCTGACCCTGCCATCCCACTGAGGGTGAGACACTGAGCCCTGACCCTGCCATCCCACTGAGGGTGAGACACTGAGCCCTGACCCTGCCATCCCACTGAGGGTCAGACACTGAGCCCTGGCCCTGCCATCCCACTGAGGGTCAGACACTGAGCCCTGACCATCCCAAACCACCATGGATGAGACACTGAGCCCTGGCCCTGCCATCCCACTGAGGGTGAGACACTGAGCCCTGGCCCTGCCATCCCACTGAGGGTCAGACACTGAGCCCTGACCCTGCCATCCCACTGAGGGTCAGACACTGAGCCCTCCAAGGGGGTTCTGACCCTCCCACCCCATCTCAAGGTTGAGACACTGACCCCTTCAAGGGAATCCTGACCCTCCCATCCCACCAGGGGTGAGACACTGACCCCCCTGGGAGAGTGTCCTGACCCTCCCATCCCTCTGAAGGTGAGACACTGGGCCCTGGGAGGGAATCCTGACCCTTCCACCCCACTGAGGGTGAGACACTGACCCCTCTAAAGGGGTTCTGACCCCCCACCCCACCTCAAGGTTGAGACACTGAGCTCTGGAAGGGGGTCCTGACCCTCCCATCCCACCAGGAGTGAGACACTGAGCCCTCCAAGGGGGTCCTGACCCTCCCATCCCACCAAGGAGGTCCCTGCACCCTACACAGGCAGTGGGGAGGAGCACTCTGGGTGTGCAGCATCCTCTCTTCTTCCATTCTGCAGTTCTCAGATCCACACTGGTTTCCTTTAAAGCTTATTTTACTCCTGCAAAATGGGTCTGTTCTTAAATACAATCTAAAATAACCCAGGTAATGCCCCAGGAACTTGATTTCTTGGAGAATTCTCATGAGTGGATTCCCCAGTGTCTAATTTAAGTTCAGCTTTTGCTGTTGCATTTTCTTTCTCCCCTTCTAGGAGGTTTGTTTTTACAAATATGGTCACCTCTGAGACTTCTCAAGTTCTGTAAAATTTAGGTTAGAATGACCTAATAAATCCAAGTTTTATTAAGAAGGGCTGAGCTAAAGGAGCTGAAATCCCATCCTGGAAGTTCCTATACTCCCAGTTATCTCCACAACACTTGTCTTTTTAGGGATAAAAAACTGAAAAATGAAACAAAGTGGTGATGTTGTTAAAAGTGATTTAAAAATCTTTTTTCTTGGCACAACCTTGTGATTTCTAGGATCACCTGAAATGCAGCACCACCTTGAAGTGAGCAAACATGGTGTTCCCAACACAGCCCTGCCTGGCTCTCTGACTGCACCTCTGGCTCTGCAGAGCATTCCAGTACTTTATTATTCTTTTGGTGAAATTTTTTTTCCTAAAACATGAACAGTTTGGGGCTTCAGGAGTTATGTCAAAGCTTAAATCCCCTCCTTACTGAGTTTGTGAACGATCAAAATTAAAAGGGAAATATAAATTAAATAGGAACTGAAATGAAAAATCCCGACAACGCATGGGTTGGTTGTAAATGTTGCCAAACAGGAGCTGAAAAAGCTCAGGGAGCTGCAACTGAGGAGGGAAGAGCTGATGTGGAGCTTCATATAATCCTCCTGGAGAATATATTACATTATATTATATTATATTATATTATACTATAGTATATTATATTATAGTATATTATGGTATATTATAATATATTATTGTAGTATAGTATATTAATATATAAATATGAATATATTACATTACATTATAGTATATTATAGTATATTATAGTATAATTATATTAATATATAATTATATAATACATATTTCTTCCTAATATCCAACCTATCCCTTCCCTGATGTAGCTGGAGACTGTGTCCTTTGGTTCTGTCAGAGACCGACCCCACCTGTCTGCAGCCTCCCTTCAGGAAGGTGTGGAGAGCAATGAGGGCACCCCTGAGCCTCCTTTTCTCCAGAATAAACAGCCCCAGCTCCCTCAGTGGTTCCTCACAGGGTTTGTGTTCCCAGCCCCTCTCCAGCCTCGCTGCCTCCTCTGGATGTGCTCAAGCCTCTCAACATCCTTCCCAAACTGGGGGGCCAGAACTGGACACAGCACTCAGGGGCAGAATGACCTCCCTGTCCTGCTGGCCACACCATTCCCAATCCAGGCCAGGTTCCACTGGCTTTCTTGGCCACCTGGGCACACGGGCACACTGCTGGCTCATGTTCACACTTCTGGCTCGTGTTCCCACGTACCTCCTCTGCTGCCGATAGCCCGACAGCTCCAGGAGGGATTTCCGAGGGAAAGACCGAAAGAGTTTCTGCACCTGCTGTTTCCATGACAGCAGCCTCTTCTTCTGGATCTCTGTAAACGCCTGTCCAAAAAAAAAAAAAAAACAGAGAGAAAAAGAGGAAATGGATGAATATGCTTGTGGGTAAAGCCAGCAGGGATGTGCATGTGTGAGTGTGGGTAAAGAAAAGCAGCTGGAGATGGTGATGGGGTGAGTTGAGCCCCATCAGAAAGTCCAGGGGGAAAACACTGCTCTTTCCTCAGGATTTACTCTTCTCAGGTGGAGAAAATGCTCTGGCAGCATTCCCTGTGCCCCAGACTCTGCCTCAAGGCTGCCAACTCCTTTTGGCAGAGCGAGGCTCTGATGGTGGGTCCTGACGGGTGGTGACACTTGTCACCTGGACGTGGCCCTAGAAATGCTGCCAGGGTGAGCAAAGCTGGGGTTTGGAAAGCTGAGCTGCCCTGTGGCATCCTGCATGCTATCCTCCTTCTCAGGGCTGGGCAGAGCTTGGCTGTGATCCTGGCTCTGGGGAGGTCACCCAGGGTGAGCCTGTCACCCACCCAGGCACCCTGCAAAGGTCACCCCGTCAGTGACAGTGACAGAGCTGGCAGTGACAGAGCTGCTCCCAGAGCTCCAGGCAGGAGGCGTGGGTGACAGGGACACCCATGTGCCACCACTGCTAACTTTAGACACCCTAGGTCTCTGCTGGAGAGCAGCAGAAGTCTCCAGAGGGCAATCTGGAGGCTAATTAGTGCCTGACTTGATTGCTCTGAACCACTCAGGAGGAGATGCTCCCTCCTGGCGCTGATTACGCCGGAGCCAGCACAGAGGGTGGTCCTGGGACGTGGGTGGCTCTGCTGGGAGAAGTGCAGGCACTTGGGGAAAAGTTCCACATCCTCCTGGCTTTGCTCTCTGGTCCTCAGCTTCCACCACTTCTGTTCCCATACAGGCAGGTGATGGAAGCAGCTTCTTCCTGGTAGGAGACACTGCAGGACACCAGGGACACGGACCATCCCTCCCTGCCACCAGGCAGGAGCGTGCCAGAGCCCTGTGGCACAGCCTGGGCCATCCCAAGCCACCACCCAGCCAAGGCAGATCCTCTGGGAGCAGGAACAGATGGAAAATCCCTGTTGCAAAATCCCAAGAGCACGTGGTGCCAAACGGAAGGAGGGATCGCTGGGTCTGTCTGACGGGAACTGCCTGCACGTTCATCCCAGCTCCTGCTTTCATCCAGCTGCTGATGGGACCGATTCTTGCTTTCATCCAGCTGCTGATGGGACTGTCACGAGCCAGATGAATTTCCCAGCTCCAGGCCTTGGCAATTAAAGCAGCGTGGGGGGAAGCAACATTTCCATGCACCACGTTGGAGCTACCGCCCGCTCCAAGGCTGCTCTGTCACAATTACTATTAATACCCCCCAAAAATATTTGTGTTAGAAACCCAAAGGTTTACATAAACAGACACTTTGGAAACAGTTTCCAAGTGATGAGAACAACAGTTTTAGATGATGTGACACGACTCACCTCGTGGATTAGACATTTGTCTATGAGCTGTAAATAGGAACTTATATTCTCTTCATCGGGTCGGGAAACTAAAAGTTGTGTGCAGACTGGAAAAAAAAAAGAACAAGAGAAGGGAAATGGGGATGGGGACACCAGGATGGGGCCCAGGAGGGGTCCCACAACCACCTTGGACATCCTGTTTCCCTTGTAACCACAAGTAGGTTTTGCATCAGTGAGAAAAAATGCCCTTCCCCAATTCCTGCCGTGCCGTCCTATATTTAGGGCCAGATTTTATTCTCTGTTATGATGGTGTAAATCCAGAGTAGCACCATTGGAGTCCCCAAAATTAGACCTAAGCAGCTCAGGGGCACAGGATTAATCCCTATTCATAAGCAAGAGAGCTCCTTCTCCCACAGCCAAAATCTGCCCCCACTGCAGAGGGGTAAATTCCCACCTTCCCTGAAGAATTTTAACCTCTTTTGGAATGAATGCCACTGAAGGAAGTGGGAATGAGCTCATGAGTTTCTCCTGTTGTAAACCCCTGGGCAGGGATGCCTGGGGGTCCAGGAGGACACCACACCTTGGCAGGGCTTGTGCCACACTCTGGCATTTGTCACAGGAATAAAATGGGGCTGGAGCCCCACATGTGGCTGTTTCTGCAGGGAACCAGCTGGGGACAGATTCTGCACCAGGTTCCTGTGTAGAAAAAAAATCTCAGCTCTTTTTTTCCAAGAAAGGTTGGAAATAGAGACAAGGCTGATATTTTTTTGTGGCACCCCAATGAGGTTTTTCCTGTTCCCAGTCTCCTGCAGATGAGACCTCCCCCTTTTCCTCTTCCCCAGGGAGATCTCCCTCCCTGCAGCCAGCACTGACACCTCAGGTGCCACCAGCACGGTTAGGGCACATCCAAGCTCACACAGATTTGCTCCAAGAGCCCTGAATATTGCACAGGAGGTCACTCCCCACCTCAGCTTGCCCCTGTTACCTCCCAGTGTGTTATTCCTGATGCAAGGCTGCACACCCTGCACTTGACAGGGAATGGCACCGGAGTATTCTGGATTTCCTGCATCCAAACTGGGCCATAAAAAGGGGCTGGGACCCACTGATTTGCACTCCAAATGGCTCATGTCCAGCCATGCACCACTGCTACCCTACTCCAAGCAGAGCAAATCCAAGGGATGCTGCTCAAAACACCTCTGGATCAGTGGGATGACTCCAGGGCTCTGGATGGGAAGCGAGAGGGGATCTTCCACTCCTGACCTCGGGAAAAGCTGTGATTTCTGCCTCTCACCTGGGGCAGGGAGAGGATGCAAGAGGATGCTCCACCTTGGACCTGGAGCTTGGAATGCATGCCATCCACCTTGGACCTCAGGCAGGCAGCTTGAGCCATTGCTGCCCCTCCCCAAAATCCCAGCCCGCCTGCCCTATCTTACCTCTAACCCAGCATGACAGGACCTCAAAAAACCATCACCCCTCAGACTGGCACCTGCAGGAGCTCAGGGAAAGGTGGGGAGGGGAAAACTCAGGGAAACTCCTTTCTAGTGATGAGACTGGGACCTGCAGGAGCTCAGGGAAAGGCAGGGATGGAAAAGCTCAGGGAAACTCCTTCCTAGTGATAAGACTGGGACCTGCAAGAGCTCAGGGAAAGGTGGGGAGGGAAAATCCCAGGAAAACTCCTTCCTAGTGATGTGACTGGCACCTGCAGGAGCTCAGGGAAAGATGGGGAGGGAAAATCTCAGGGAAACTCCTTCCTAGTGATGTGACTGGGACTTGCAGGAACTCAGGGAAAGGTGGGAAGGGAAAAACTCAGGGAAACTCCTTCCTAGTGATGAGACTGGGACCTGCAGGAGCTCAGGGAAAGGTGGGGAGGGAAAATTTCAGGGAAACTCCTCCCTGGTGACAAAACTGGGACCTGCAAGAGCTCAGGGAAAGGCGGGGAGGTGAAAACTCAGGGAAACTCCTTCCTGGTGATGTGACTGGCACCTGCAGGAGCTCAGGGAAAGGTGGGAAGGGAAAATCCCAAGGAAACTCCTCCCTGGCGACGAGTCCGAGGAGAAATGGCAGCCGCTCACCTTTGCCCATCACTCGTGTGAACTGGCCGGGCAGGTCGCCCTCGGGCAGAGGGGCCCCTCCCGACTCGGCCTCGCAGCCCGGCAGATGGTGCTGCTGCATCCCGGCGGCCGCCGCGTCCTTGCACTCCGAGCCCTGGCCGTCCCTGTCCGAGCCCAGCAGCGACGGGGGGTGCCCGTGGTGCGAGTCCACCTCCCGGCCGTGCTCCTCGGTGCTGGAGCTCTGCGAGGAGTAGGCTTTGATGGGGGTGAGGATCATTTGGTGCAGCTCCTGCAGCGGCACACGCAAGTTGCCGCCTTCCAGGATGTCCTGCGGGTGGAAGGGAGAGAGAGAGAGAGGAGGTTTGGCTTTGCTGGGATAACAGCAGCCCTCCTGTGACCCCCTGGGAATTCCCAGCTTTGCTCCTGTCTATTCCACAGCCAACGTTTCATTCATCAAGTCTTTTCTTTTATCAGGGGAGTGCTGCAGCGTCTGATTATCCATGGATGTGCTCAGACCCAAATCCTCAGAGATAAATGTGCCCCCATCAACCACTGGGACCCAAACCCAACATCAATGTTTCCACTTTTCCACCAGGGAAATGCCAAGTCCATGAAAATGACTGAGCCTGGGAGATTTTGATGCCCAGAGCAGCAAAAATGTATTTTAAAATATCAAGTATTTTGTGTATTTTAAAAATATATCACATCACTGAGTGCTGAGCTGATAATAAAAGAAGGATAATAAAAGGAAAAGGAGCCCTTGGAGATCTGTCCCATTGTGCCAGTGAGCCTTGGAAGGAGTCAGATGTGGTTCTGACAGAGCAGATGGCAAAAGTATGTTTGTTGGTTCCCCAGCAATCCTACAATCCCAACATTTCAGCTCTATTTCATTGGAATTACATTAACATGGGCTTGTTTCCTGCTTCCAGCACCACCTTCAAGCCTGGCTCCCATTAACTGCTCTGCCCTTAAACTGCTTGCCACGGCACCCTCATGCTCTGGGGTCACCCCAGAGCCCAGGACCATGCTGGGATGCAGGAGCCTGTCCTGTGGCAGCTGTGGGGACATCCCTGTCCCCTCTGGGCTGGGCTGGGCAGTGGATGCAGAGGGCACAGGGAGGGTTTCAAGGGCAGCAGGTGATTTGTGGTCAAACACAAAACTGAAACTCCCACAGCAAAACCATTCAGAGATCCTGGGGCAGATCCACCCAGGAGGGAGAGAATTTGGGTGCACCCCAGCTTTGCTCCTGGTGTGGATCAAGAACTCCATTTCTATGGTCAGATCCTGGTCCCACTGATGGGAAATAACTGCATTTTGTTTTTAATGTGGCCTGGAGCAGAAGAGCTCCCTGCAGGCTCCTGCACAGTCTGGCTCATGGGACACTGCTTGGAAAGAGGCAACTTTTGCAGTGAATCCTGATGTGCTGAATGAAGGAAGGGACACTAAGTGGCACATGGGATGTCTGCAAGCCCTGAAACAGTTGTTGACTCTAACTCCTGCTGCATTCCCAGCTCACTCTTGGACGTCTCAGCTCCATTTCCCACAAAGATCTGGTGTCAGTCTGCTGGGCACTATTTTTCTGGGAGAAAATCCTGCCCTGTTAACTAATAGAGGGGTGGAGCAGCTCTTTCCAAGAAAGCAGCAGTATTTAGCAGCGAGACACTGCCCAAAACCATCAAGTCCCACACATGCTCTTGTTTAGCAAAACCTGGATGGGAAGCCTGATGGGAAAGCAGAGATGTCTCCTCCCAGGGAAAGCAGCTCACAGGCAGCTCTGAGCCCCAGCAGAGCAGGCCAGGGTCACGGTGCCACAGCCCAAACCCACCCCAGGGGGCTCCAAACCAGTCCCTGCCACTTCCCTCCTGTATTTCACAGCGTGCCTGGCTGGCTGTGCCAGCTGAGCTGGGCTCCAGCTCCTGCACAGCACCACTCAATCAACGCCAGATTCCCAAATCCCAGTGGAGGAGTGGAGGGAGAGGCTGTGCAATAGCCTGGAAAACACAGGGCTGCAGCCAGCTCCATCCAGCTCTTGGATTTAATAGTTATTATTAATAACGGAGGTAAATATGGCTTTATTAGCTCCTGCCATACTCTGAGCACAAGCCCATATTATAAATAAATAGTGAAGCAGTGAGCTAAGGAAAACACCAATAAATAGCAACACACCACAGAAGTATTTAAAAGCCCCTAGTGGGAGGCTCTGCAAGTTGCTGTTTGAAGATGGTGCAATTAAGTATAATATAATACAGGGATAATAAATAGGGAGAGCTTGGGTGAGCTGCTCCCAGCCAGGCTGTGGTGCTGCTACTTCCCCAAAAGCCCTTCCTGCAGGGTTTAAGCTTTTGTTGATGTGATAAAGAAGTTTCTATTTATTCTCCTTGGAAATTCAAGCTGTTGTTCAGGCACTGATGTGGGTGTTTGGTGTTTTATCCCAGGACAGGGTGCTCATAGGATGTTCCAGGAATGATCGAGTCTTTCTGAGCACCCTGGAGCTGGCCAGGGCTACAGGGTACATCCATGCCAGCTGTGGGAGATGCATTAGGATCCATTCTGCAAAACACAGCTTTGAGCAATGTGGGCTAGTGGAAGGTGTCTCTCTTCCATGGCAGAGGGTTGGGACTTTAGAGTCCCTGCCAGCCCAAACCTGTCGCAGACATCTTTTATGGAAAATCCTGTCCTTAGGATTCTTCCTCCTGAGAAGCTGAGAGGCCTCAGGGACAAAATGTAAACAATGATTATCTGCTGCTGTGGAATGCAACAGGTGCATCTGGGATTGGTCTCGTGTGGTTGTTTCTAATTAATTGTCAATCACAGCCCAGCTGGCTCGGACTCTCTGTCCAAGCCACAAACCTTTGTTATCATTCCTTCTTTTCTATTCTTAGCCAGTCTTCTGATAAAATCCTTTCTTCTATTCTTTTAGTATAGTTTTAATACAATATATATCATAAAATAATAAACCAAGCCTTCTGAAACATGGAGTGAGATCCTCGTGTCTTCCCTCATCCTCAGACCCCTGTGAACACGGTCACACAAACCATTCTGGAATTCTGTGAAACAAATTGCATCAGATCCCCACAATATGTGTAAGCAAAGAGTACTTCACCCCAGAATTAATTCCTGGCTTCTTGAAAACACAAGAAATACAAAGAGGGTTGTGATTACTTACCCCTTCTAGAGATTTGAGCAGGTTTTGTCTCTCTTTTAGCTTTTGGATACTGATGACAATTTTGTGTCTTGCGCCTTTGGTAACGTTCTGCAAAACCAGGATAAAATTTGATGTTAACACTTCCACAGGGCAGCTGGCCCAACCCAAACCCTTCCTCTCCTAAACAGAAAGGGCTGCTGGAAATTAATTACATTTTTGAGTGCAGGGATTTGTGGGGGACATAGAAAACCACCCAGAGACTTGCTGAGGATGGAGATTTCCAGCTGGTCTGTCCCTCCCTGCTGCACCTCACACATGGAGAGCAATGGTGCTCCCATTCCTCTTTATCCCAAGGATAATGCAGAGGTGAACCTGAGAGCTGAGTGGGGGCTGGAATCAGATAATCTTTACTTCCAACCCCAACCAGCAATATTCTATGATTCTATGACATTTTCAAAGGCAGTCAGCCATCAAAGCCCCACTGCCTTTAATGGAGTTGCACCACAGGTTGCACCCCTGAAACTCCTGAATTTAATCCCAGCTGGGAAAAAAACCCCCAAACACAGCTCCCAGTGATGGGACTTCCATGCTGGGACTCCAGCAAGAACACAGGGACAAGGTTTATTTCAGGTACAATGTGAGATTTTTTCACTCCCCAAGACCCAATTCCCCTTTTTATTCCAACCATGAGAAGTCACACGAAGGAGCTTTGGAAGCTGTCACCCCCCAGGTGAGGTGGGACATACTTGTGCCTCGAGCTGGCACTCGGTGAGGGCCATCATCTCCTCGTAGGTCATCTGGGAGAAGAGGGCGGCATACTTGTGCAGCCTGAGGCTCTTGAGCCAGGCTGGGACATCTGCAGCACAAGGGAACAACAGGAGAGCTCCAATGAGTTCATGGAACGGCACAACCACGAGCAACAGCATCAGCACCAACATGAGGGGCATCCCAAGGGACACCTCACTGAGCTTCATGGATCTTTGGGAGGACACAGGGCTGTGGATGTGGATGGGACAACGAATCAGTCCATGGATGGGGACACAGGGCTGTGGATGTGGATGGGACAAGGAATCAGTCCATGGATGGGGACACAGGGATGTGGATGTGGATGGGCCCCTGGAGGAGGACACAGGGCTGTGGATGTGGATGGGACAAGGAATCAGTCCATGGATGGGGACACAGGGATGTGGATGTGGATGGGCCCCTGGAGGAGGACACAGGGCTGTGGATGTGGATGGGACAAGGAATCAGTCCATGGATGGGGACACAGGGATGTGGATGTGGATGGGTGGAGGAACCAGCCACTGGATGAGGAAAGGAACAACAACAACCCAACATCCTCACAAGGTGTGTTTCTGTGGGACAGCCACTGGGAATTGGCCCATGGGGAACTGCACACCAAGCTCCTCACTGCTGTTCTCCCAGGAACATGGGAAGTGCTGCAGCTCATGCAGTGGTTGAGCTCAGGACAAGCAAAGGGCTGTTTGTGGATGGCAGACACTGATTATGGCCTGAGGGACGGTGGCATGTGCTGAAAATGGAACTGGCTGCTTAAACAGAGCTAGAGAGATGGGTTTGGGATGGAAAAATGATGTGCCATCAAAGATGGCCCCACACCCTGCTTCAAAGGGTGACCTGGGATCTGAAATGCACTGACTGAAATGACTTCTTCTTTCCCAGGTGTTACCTGCAGTGTAGCACCTCTATGCCCAGCTGGAGAGGTACCCAAAATTACATTTATCCTCCTGACTTCAACATGTTTTCACAAGGAGTGACCTGGGAGGGGAATCCTTCCTCTGTGACATTCAAAACCCCATGGACTCCATGATGAGGTGTCCTCCACGGAGCAGGCAATGTGACAACAAGCAGCTATGCAGGGTTTGCAGGTTTGGGGGTCTGTGGTGACACCCCACAAGGGAGGGGGGCCCTGCAGGCGTCTGTGCTGCAGCACAGCACTGGGCCTGTGACGAGGTTTTTAGTTTGAAATGCTTTGCCAAATTGAGAGCTGCTTTATTCAACACCCACAACCCCACAGGAGCTCTGCCACAGCCCTCCCAGCTGACGGGCTCTGCTCCCAGCAATGCCTTGTCCACAGTCCCTGTCCCCTTCCCTACCAGTGAGACACTGGGCAGCTCATTCCCACTGCTGGGACATCCACCTCATGGTGTGGGTGCAGAAAGCCCCACAGTGTTGAGCCCCACCTGCAAGCCAAGGATTGTCCATGACCCCTTCCTGAACCAAGGTGGTCTCATCACTGGAAGGGACAGGGCAGGAGGGACCTGGTTTGGTTCCCAAGGCAATCCATACACCTGCTGAAGTCTCCTGCTGCCCAGGCCGATCCCAAACCCACCCTGCATCCAAGCAAAGAGGATGCAAACAATCCCAGCATGCTGCATCCTGCTCACACTCCCCAAATCCCAGACACACACAAAGATTCACGTGTCAGTGAAATTCCTCAAGTGCTGCCCCACACCAAACATGGGAAAAGGCAATGACTGAGCACAGATGGGCTGAAATTCAAAGTTTTCCTAAAGTTCTGACATGTAACAGTCCCAAAGTCTGCTACCAGCACCCTCTTAAGCTGATTTCTGTCTAAAATAAATGAAAATCTCTCAGCAAAAAGCCCCATTTCCAGCACAGGCTCAAGTTTCATCATCATTTTAACACAAAACCACACCATTCTAGTGACAGCACATTAAAAGTCTCCCTGATCCCACATCCCCATGGGACACCTGCCTTTGGCACACATCCATGCCAATGGCAAAGCCCACAAGGACAATTCCAGAAGAGATTCACCCTCACACAGACATTGAACCCTGGAGGAAAGCCTTCTCCAGCCTTTGCAGAAGCAGCTCTGCATCAGCCTGACTGGATCATGCCTCAATTTTGGGGACAGTGGTGGTGCCAGAGCTCCCCTGCCAGCAGAGATGCAATCCTGGGAGCAGGCTGGGGAGAAGGAGCCACCCCAGGACAGACAGAGTGTGTTCTGTGTGATGGAGCTTTCCCCATTCCCACAGGGAAGAGAGGCAACCAGGAGGCGCAAGGACACCCAAGGTGATTTCCTGGTCCCTGGAAAGTCAAATTTCCCAGTGCTCTCCACGGATGGGTGAACCACCTGCCTGCAGAGCTACTCTTTAATCAGCAATTACCAGCAGGTAATTGCAAAGTCATGGCACGGCTGTCAGGAAATTTAGAAGGAAAACAACTCACTCTGCAATATTTACACACAGGACACCTTGGATACACTCCCAGCAGAAACTCCTGGCTCTACCCACACCTGCCTCCTGGTGCTCCCCAACCTCTGCCCCAGGAATCACAGAATCCTGGAATGGCTTGGGTTGGAAGGGTCCTCAAAGATTATTTAATTCCAACTCCTGTCCATGGGCAGGGACATGGCAAGGGACTGACAGACAGACAGACAGGGATCCATGGAGAACCAAGTGTCCATATCCTCCCCTGGAGAAACCAAGAGCTAGGATAAAGCCAAAGGGCATTTTCCCTTCAGCATGAAGATAGATGGAAAGAAAAGAAATGGGAGCATAAAGATAGACAGAAAGGAAAGAAATTGTTGACAGTGGGGGAGATAAACTGGGGATCTGCCATGGGTTCCTCACATTCCAGTGGGTCTGGATCCTCCTGGATGGATAAAGAAGGAAGCAGCAGAGCAGGAGCAGGGGGACACCCAGCCACCAGAGCCTGCAGGCACTCAGGGAGACGTGGCTGCAATTCAGGACTTGGCAGCAGGAGCAGCCAGCCTGGATGGGGAAGGAGGCAGCCCCATAAAAATGCAGCAAACTGTGTGTTTGTTTCTGCAGGAACCAGAAACGGCACGATCGGAGTGCACGGAACGGGCAGTCCTCTCCTCACTTCTCCTCTTTTTTTTATTTTTTTCAGGAAAGCTGTGGGGATACAATGGGTCATATGCAGCTCCCAGAGCTTTGTTATTTGAGGACGATGAGCTACACAGCCACAGGAATGCTGTCTGGAGGCAAACAAGCCTCTGCTCTGCTTCCAAGTCCGGTTTTGGGCAGCACACCTTCAATAAAACGAGGACTTTTTGGAAAAAATCCTGGCGGGGAGAAGCAGGAACAACCCCAAGTTCAGAAAACATCATCTGGGAAGGCAGTGGAATGGCTGAGCCTGAAGAAAACCCAGCTGAGGGGGGAGGACAGGGCAGGCAGAGACACCAGAGGTTGTGAACATCTGTTCTGCACGTCCCTGGACAGGGGGACAGAAGCCATTTGGCCGAGTCAGCAGTGGGGGAATCGCGTTTGGGAGTCTGGAAAGGGACAGCCCAAGGAAGGGTGGACATGGCCCAGCTGCACCCAGCAGCAAGGGATGTGTTAATATGTGGGGTTATTTAATTGATCATCATCAATCCCAGCCTCTGGGTTTTGTGGATTTGGCCACACAGGTTGATTGCACAGCACTGGGAAGTTTCTCTCCATGCACATCTCAGAGCTGCAGCTGTGGATCACAGGGAGCCAAGCTCCCCATGGCCTCCTCCCCAGCTCCTTCTGCAGAAACCTGGAGAAATGTGGTGTTAAACAGCCCTCCCCAACTCCCAAAAAGTTCTCCCTGGCCAGACAGCCTGCAGGACTGACCTGCCTCTCTTACATTCCCTAGAACCATGAGGGGTTTTTCATGCATTTATTTCATGCACATCAAAGCCATCCAGAGCCAAGCCAAATGCAGTCCCACATCACACAGATTTATCCACATCTCAATTTGTCTGTAATTAGACTAAAATCAGACCTTGTGACTGTTAAAAAACACAATTATTTCCCTATTCTGATACACCACTGGTTTGCACACAATCGAGCTGCTTTGCATTAATACAAATTGGAGTTGTTTAAATCAGTCTGAGAGCTGCAGGGTCATTCTCAGTCTGTTCCCAGGAACACACAGTTTGTGTGTTTGCCCAGTTTTTAGCTGTTTATTCCTCCTCAGCCTGAAGTTTGCTCTGCATCTTTGACTGCAGCAAGTGGGGTTCATTTCTGCCTTGTTTACCACCAGAACCACATGTATTTATTGCCAAAATCTCTGTGAAATGTAGGTATAATGGGAAAACCAACCGAAACACACAGGTTAAATTCACTGCAAACAAGCAGCCCAAGCCAAAACTTCCCCAGATACTTGGTGGGTATCAAACACTGCAATGGCAAATCACACGTGGCTTGCTAAGCTTGCTCTAAGCTATTTTTCACTGTCATAAAAAAATTAAAAAAAAAAAAAAAAAAGAAAGAGAAAAAAGAGCACCACTCGCAGCCAAAAGCCACAGGCAATGGAAAAAATCCAGCTTTTTGCAAAGCTGGCAGCTCACAGGGCTTTGGGGCAAAACCAGCCCACTGGCACCCAAGTGTAAGATGTCAGATCAGGACCAGCTGCTACTTAAAGAAAACCCGAGGCATTCCCCTAACCCTAAATCCCTAAGGTGGGGAGAAAAGGCTGGGAGGCCCCGTTTGGCCACGAGGATCCTCTCCCCAAAGCCAGCAGGGAGCAGGGGCAGCTCTTCCCCTCCTGCCTCTGCGTGCTGGGGGAATGGGGTCTGGTTTGTCACTCACCTTTCATCCCACTCCCTTCCTCCTGGAATGTGTTACGAGCAGAAGGCTGATCTTCTAAATGTTCACTCCCACCACTTCCCGAAGAGGCTACACTGCTTTGTGGAGACAGGGGGGCATGATCAGAAGGGATGCACTGGGGTCCTCTAGCTCGTAAGTCCTCATGAGACATCCATCCATGTCCTAGAGGTTGGTTTGGCACATTCATGGGTGGGGTAAGGGACACAGAGCGTTTCAAAGGGCTGTGGTGTGTCTGGCCTGAGAGAACTGAAAAAAAAAAAAAAAAATAAAATCAAAGAGGTTATTCCCCCCTCGCGGCCCGGGATGCAGCAGAGTCCCCCGAAAAAAAAAAAATAAAAGAAAAAGGAAAAAAAAAAAATCAAATGAAATTATAAAATGTGTGGTGGTGGTTGGCCATGGTGCCTGGCTGATGGCTTTGCAGCACCCCTGAGCCCTACCCTGAGCTCTCTGCTTTGTCTCCTGGGAACAAAAAGGGTGGGAGCACCTGCAAGGAGATGGGGTCACACTATGAGCCACGCTGGGCTGCTCAAGGGAAGGCGCTGTGTGGATTCCAGCTCTAGGGAAAAAACATCAATGAGCAGTTCTGCAGTGTAAAATCCCCAGGATGGGGATGTCCCACAGAGATCCAGGGGCAGCATCTCTGTCTCTCCCTTTGGGTTAGGACCTGGCTTTTGCCCTGAAGCAGGAGCACTTACACTTCTCCCAAAATCACTGCAAGGGTACTTCCTACCCATAGGAATGGCTCAGCCTTGTTGAGCCCTACTAAAATCACAGGACCCTGGCATGGTTTGCATTGGAAGGGACCTTACAGACCTCATTCTAAACCCCTGCCATGAGCAGGGACACATTCCACCAGACCAGGTTGCTCCAAGCCCTGTCCAACCTGCCCTTAAACACTTCCAAGGACTACCTCTGTTTTAAGTACTGAAAAAAGTATTAAAAGAATGTTCTGTTTGCTTAACAAAATTCAAATTCCATCACTCAGACTCACTAACCTACTGGTCTATAATTCAATGTACAGATTTAGGATGCAAACCAGGGAAAATTTCCCTGCTTCAGGAAAACCTGAGGGCAGAGGGATTAGAATGACCTTTCAGCCTACAAGAAACAGAAGCAAAAACTTTTCAATTTTTCCTTCCAAGCCAAATTTTTAAACTGTACAAAACCTGGGGGAAATTCATTGTTCTCGTGGCTTCTCCATCTAAAGCACCAAAAGCCCTAAAGCTCCTTAATCCCCTTTTTGCATTTACAGCAGCTCACCAAAACCACTCAGACTCCTCTCCATGTTATTATTTAATAGAAATGAGTCTTGGTGGAAAACCCCCAGCCAGGTGCACCGTGCTGCAAAGGTTAAGCCAGGCTTAATTCCCAGCTCAGGCCTGGGGGAAAACCCCACCATCAAAGGCATCTTGCTGACCAGGAGAGGCATGAAAATGAGGAACTAGTGGGGTTACAAAAGGGAGGGGGGAGAGAGAAACACCAGAGCACATTTGCATTTATTAACCACCTGCAATAAGCAGCTGGTACCACAGGCAGCTGCTGGATGAGGCCAAAAAACCTGTGGATTTCTGTAATGTTTAAATAATTCCTACTCCTGAAAGGGTTTTCTTGTGCCAACACACAACACTGACACCATGCTCTGCAGGGAAGCACTGGGGTGGCTCGTGGGGAAGAATTTGTTCCCTTCCCTTTTAAAAACTACACAAACATCTTCCAGAAGTCTCTTTTCTGGCAAAAAAAGATGCCAATGAGATCCTGAGATTGCTTCCAGAGCAGTGTTATGCTTCCTAAAGCTCTGATATGATGCATCCCAATGGGGAAATAGATGGATTTCAGAAGGTCCTGGACAAGCTTTTTCAGCTCTTGGCTTTGCAATTGTACCCCCAAAACAGCATCTGTAGATGCCACATTACCCTCTCAGGAGAAAAATATATTTAGGATTTAAAACCCCCCAAAATATAGGGGGAAAAAAATGGATAAATTGGTTAAAATGCATCAGGGCTGAGCATTGGCTCTGCACCACCCAGAGCCCTTCTGTGCCTGCTGCTCCCAGCCATGGTCACTGTGCTTGGGGAGAGAATTCACCCTGAATTTGCTGTAGGAAAACCACTAATTTAGGAAATATTTGTGCCCCTCAGAAGAAGGAGAGATGCAGAGAAGGGGCCAGGAGGACTGGGGTGAATTGTGCCCTTTCAGGAGGCTGCCCTGCTAACCCAGCTCCTGCAGGGCGTGTGCAGACACTGGGACCCAGCAGTGCTCACACCACCCTGCACACAGGAGGGGATTTTTGGCATAAATCCAGCCCAGATTCCTTCATGAGCAGCAACACCCCTGCAAACTGCTGCTCCTCCATCTTAATTTCATGCCCCCTAATTAGAAGCCGGTGTCGGCTGAAGGAGAAATAATGAACTCCAAAGGATGGCCAGGGACAATTAGAAACCATCCAGTGAATCAGACAAAAATCAGTTCCACTTCTTTCTCTGAGATAATGCAACTCTGGATCCAATAAAACACCTTTTACTAAGCCAAAATTTTACTGAGGTGTGAGTTGCTCCCACAACACCTGGGATGCAGCAGGGAAAATCCCTCTGCAAAGGATGCTGCAAGTCCCCAGTTCTCTGAAACCACCTGGGGACCAAACTGAGGTGATTTAAGGGCTCTTAGCACTGGCCTAACTTTAGGGTCTGCTTTTTATTGGTGATAATGTGGTTTCTTGCAACCCCTCTTGCCCATTTCCATCAGCCCTAAAAATGCTGAGAATCCTGGGATGGCACCCCTCTTTTGTTCTGTAACCCCCAGGGGATCAATAAATACCCATATTTATTATATCTATTAATAATATATATTAATAATATATACTAACAATTTATTAATAATATTTATTAGTAATGTTATTAATATTTTTAATTAATAATATTTATTAATGTTGTTGCTTGTGGTCACGCCCTCAACTTTTTGAAATAAGAGGATGTAGCTAATTTATTTCCAAATAATTATTGTTTATTATAGGTCCTGACCTGAATTTGACAATTCTGTGTGCTTTTTGGGAGGTCCAAGGTGAATCCAGGGCTGCTCCTGGCTAAAATAAATAGTCCACGTGGGCTTTAACTTCAGCAGAAAAAAACCAAGTGTGAGTTTATCACCTCACACTGATGCCTCCTCTTCTTTTACTACAAAAATACTAAGCTTAAATTTAAAAAGGAAATCTAAAGTGTTACTCTGGGCCAAGATAAGCTCCCAGGAGGTGGGTGGGCACGGCTGCCTCTCTGAGTGCTGTGAGCTGGGCAAACAAAGAGGGGAAATCACCACTCCAAAGGGCATCCCACGCTGGCACAAGGATCCCCTACAGCCTGTAAGCATGCCCCACTTCTGGGTTAGAAGTGTTTTCCTGCCCTTTAGGTGCTGCAAGGCTCCACACAGGCCCTGCCTGGCCCAGCTCCTTCCAAGTGGGACAGGGGCTGGAGCAGATCAAGGTTTTCTCTGGAATCAGTGGGCTGGTGCTGCCTCTTTGCTCAGCCCACACCAGACCATATTTCCCTACAAGAAACCTCTCCGTGATTTCCAGACTGGGATCAAGCTCAGGGTAATATCCCCAGGTTAAAAAACCCCAAAAAAGCAGAGGATGTTGAAGGAGTGATGGCAACAAAGCTGCCCGTGACAGGAGGCAGCTGCTGACCACGCTGGGAGCATCCCTGTGGCACCACCCCCTCCCCAGGCAAATCTGGATTTATCTCAGAGCAAACCCTGCCTGGGCTGGCAGGCACCACAGCACACTGACAGAAACTGAGGCTGCAAGTGCTCTCACCCCCTGAAGCCTTGGCTTTGGGATTTTTCCCTCCCCCCTCTCTTTTCCCTTTTGAAGTGGCGCTGCCTATTTTGGGAGGCAAGGGCTGATTTCAAGAGGGTTTTTGTTCACTGAGGACCATGTGGAACAGCGTCAGACATTTGTGTTGTGGTTTCTCAGGGTTTTGGGCCAATTTTTTTTCAGCCTGAGAAGGGAAAAGCCACCCATTCCTGTAATTAGAGCTGAGAAATTGGGCTCTGCAGGCAGACCTTCCTCCACACAGCGACAAGGTGCTCACTCTCCCTCTCTCTTCATGAAATCTGGCTTAGAGTGCTGCTAAAGTCCTTGATGAATGCACATGTGAGAGCTTCCAGTGAGAACCAAACCCACCACTGGGAGGATTCAGAATGTCTCCAGTCCCCACCATGCCCCTGATACCCAAAGGACCACCAGTGGGTCCATACATCAGGTTACAATTCCAAATAACTCTTCCCTGTGCTTGCAGAAAGGAAAAAGCACTGCAACGAAAAAAAAAAAAAAGGAAAGGACACTTCAAGGTGCATACTGAACTCTTTGGGACCTTCTTTTGGGGTTTTTTTTAGTTTAAAAATGGCCCTTCTTGGCTGCAAAGCTGTTTATGGTGAGTCCTCAGGCAGCATTTGATCACATCCAGCTGCTTTCCTGGTCTGCTGGTACCTGGAGCAGCAGCCTGACCCCAAAAAGGGGGGATGTTTTTAATCCACACGAGGTTTTGTGCAGCCTGGAAGCTCCTCCATGGAGAGGGAACACTGAGCACCCCCTCACAAAGCAAACCCCAAGTTCACCTCAGTCTCCCTCCTCCTTGCCATCCCAGTCACATCCTCTCCTCCAGGAAGGCTTCCCCGTGCTGGCAGAGCAATGCCCAGGGCTTTTCCAGCTTCTCCTTGCCCAGAGCCCTTGGAAAGAGCTGCCAGTGGGTCACACTGCCCAGCTGGCACCCAGCCTCCTTCCTGGGCACCTCATTCACCCTCTCCCCAGGCTGCCCCAGGCAGCCCCAGCACGGCCAGAGCAGGACTGATGGAACATTTTTCAGCTCAACATCCCCTAACCCTTGGAGCCTCTCTTTGTGCCTTTTTTTCCTTTAATCTCCCTGTGTTCTGTGGCTGTGACTTTTACACAAAATGTGTTTGTAGGAGCTGGATAATCCACGTGCTGGCCTCTGAACCATGAGCTATGAGCTGGTCTAACCCATGAAGGGGTGAAATTCAGGATTCTAAATGCAAGAAGCAACTGGGGAAAAGGGAAATTGTGGAATTAGGAAATTAGTGGTGTTAACCCCTGCACCAGGAAAAAACCCAATACAAGCAGAGTGCTGCCTCGAGCAGGGAAGGAGCACAGACTGCAGAAAAGGCTGTCAAGCAAACCTTTTCAAAGAAATGGTGTTTTTAAACACAGTTTCCTGTTGAAGAAAGTGGACAGAGAA